AAAAAAAAAAAATTTGTGTTGTATATATATGTAAATATAGATATATAGTTACCACTTCAACCTGCCTAAGCAGTACCTTAAGCAAAGTACTCAAATTTCGAAATCTTTGTTAGGGTATTTAAAGTGCGATAGGCTTTCGTAAAGAGCACCAATTCATACGCCTCGTCTTAGCAGCCTCCCCCGCTCACCTGTCGCTTACATTTAGCACGCAACTTCAACGAATTAAAAGAGTTTTTTTTTTTTAAATTTTATTATTATTATTATTAATATTATTTTTGTTGTTGTTGCTGTTGGTGTTGCTGCTGCTGCAGTGCTTCACATTGTTATCGCATACGTTGACGCCGACGTCGAAGCCGCCGTCAAGAACGTTGAAGAACCGAAGTGAAACGAACTTTGAGAATTTCGCGGGGCCACGCAACGCATCCAGCGCAGGCAGAGCGACTGAGATAGAGATAGAGGCGATGGAATTGAATTATTGAATAAGATGCGGGCATGGTAAATGCTTCAGCGCAAGGAGAGTGTGCGCGAGGAGGTGAGAGTGGGATAAGCAGTTACTTAGTTCAAGTTGGTTGCCTGCCCATTGTAACGTTCTTCTTCATTTCTTCTTCTTACTCTTCTTATGCTTATGTTTCTAATGCATACAATTTTCCACACAGCAACGGGCAAACGGCATTTGACGCGGCTGCAGTTGCATTTATTTCTGCTATTTATGCAGTCCCGCTGACTTATTAGCAACACGCATGCGTGCAGCAGCTACAGTCCATGAATGTGTGTGCTGAGCAAAGGTGGATGCGGGAGTAGTTGGTTGGTTCGGTGCGCTTTTGGCATTTTTTAGTGCTTTTTCGGGCGCTTTTTCAAATGCTGCGCGCGCACTCTGATTGGATGGGAATATTCAGCGCCGCCTGAAAGCATGCAACGATTTTTTCATTTTGTCGTGCCTTGTCAGCTGTGGTCGCTAGATGGCGCCACTGTATGCGAGTAATCTGTGTAACTAAATTGTGTATTATAAATATAATTGTTTTATAATTAACATTTCTTTTAAGAAGTGGAGGATTTTGAATTTTCGAAATTGATATGATATCTTTTTTACTTATGTTTTTCAGATATTCATCTTTCATGTGCTATTAGCTTTGTACAGTTGTTTTTCATATATATTTACTTTTATTCTTATGCCTTTCTTGTAGAAACGGAGGGCGAGCTGACACGCATGATCAAACCGCTTCCATGGGGACCACTCTACTGTGTGCTGCAGCAGGACGATCAAACATTTACTGCCTACTGCAGCGAGGAGATTTCGGTAAGTAAGGAGTAACAAATTTAACGAGTAACGATTGGAATTCGGTGACTAACAACGACTAACGAGCTATGAAAGTGACTAACTTTACAATTGCAAGGAATATAAAAGTAGTTGAGTATCAGCTGAGAAGTCATCTGTTGAGTATTAAGTAACGCCTAAAAACTAGGTATGAGTAGCGAGTAACTATTAACTAGAAGTAATTAGTAGAACAGTAGCTAACAATTAGAGACTATATATCATTAAAATGATGAAAAAGAGACAGTTTGCGGATTATTCAGTAGATATACTAGGTTAGGCCATTGCCGGTTAAGTGCAACTACTAATAGTTGAAGCCTCCAAGAGTAACGCAAGTGACAAGTCTGAAATAACGAGTAACGGTAGTAACAAGAAGCAGTAGCTGTAAATTGAATGCAAGCAGGAGATGAGCAACGAGTAACCTGTGTATGCAGCGAGTATGTGTAATATAGCAGCTCATATTATGATTAATGATTATTATATAAAACAATAAAACGTTACTAATAGGCATTCAGATACTAATCTTATGCGTAGCATGATAAAAGTAACTAATAGCGAGTATTAGCCAAAAACAAAGCAAATTAAAAGGAGCGAGTATCTCGCTGAGTATTATAAGGCAATTAACAGTTTCAGCGCTTCGCTAGTGAAATGTTGTTGATCTATTATTATATAACCGTAATTTAAGCTTCTAATATATTTACATTTTCATTTACAATCTAAACCTTCTATAACACTCATCTCTATATGTGTTCTATACATTTGTTGTTGTCTTTTTCCCCTCACACTCTTGCACCCACTAATATGGATCATAAAACGCTACTAACCTGTAGATATTTCCGGCTACGCCCAAAAAGGAGCTGGAGGTGCGTAATGCTTGACAAATCAAAAAAGAAGAAATTAAAATAAAATAAAAACTAAATAAAAAAGATTATAAAATAATAATAATAAATATTTCTTATAAGCTAGAATGTAACTTTTTTATGAGCTTACATATATTAACTGCTCTTGTTACTTTCTTTGTCTCTCCCGCTCTCTGTCTTTTCCCCCTGTCTAGCTGGGCGATGTCTGCTATGAGGATATACCGCGCGTGCGCTTGGATCGTGCACGTCGCCCCGTCAAAGCCCTGTGGCGCGGTCCGCCCACACTGGCGGAGGAGAACGAGGATTCCGACAGCTGTCTCAGCACCGGCATGACCGGCCTCAACGATATAGTGCTGAATACAACGCTCTACAATGATCTAGGTGAGTGCCAGCAGTACTAAATTTGTACAGACCCGACTGTGAAATACTCGTTAACTGTAGATGAGATCCACTCTGATTTAGCTGACAAATTGTTTCCAAGTTCTCCAAGTCTGTAATATATTATTTTTAATCAGTCGCCTAACCCCAAGGCAGATTTTAGATAGATAGAAGAGATGACTTGTCATGAATATAAAATATACATTTCAAATTCCAATTCTCTAGCAAAATATGTGCATATAATACCCCTATCGTCCCCGCCCCCAGCTTAGCACTTCATGGGCGACGATACACCTGAGTAAATACGCAAAATTTGGGCAGTTTGCACAAACCCAATATGCTCCATGCACTGCGTGCACGAGTGTGGGGAAAGGGGTGAATTGGGTTGGAGTCGGGGTGGGGTTGGGGGTACTTATAAAGTGTTAAGTGTGGCCAGTCGGGCTGACCTTTTCCATTAGTCGCAGCTCTAAATTGTATTGACCGACGAGTGCAGTCGTTGTTGTTGTTGTTGCCGATCATATCAAAAGCGTCTGTCTGCCTCTCCCCTTCACTCTCGCCCTCCCTCTCTCTCTCTCTCTCCCTCGCTCTCTCTCTGTGTCTGTGCTGTCTGTCAGGAAATTTGTTTGTATCGTCGTCACGCATGCCAGCACATTGGGCACAATGGCAGACGGGCAAGGAGGGTGGGTGTGAGTGAGTGAGAGAGAGAGAGAGAGAGAGACCGAGAGAGAGGGACAGCGCTATGCGACACCCGACAAACAGCAACAATGGCGAATTCGTTAATGACAATATACGCGCGATTGGGCAGCAGTCCAGCTCGTGCAGGCGACAAAAGTGTCGCGAACGAATTTCAAGGAAAGCAATACAAATAGGAAATGTTCGCGTTACATTAAACACATGCAAACCTCTGTGTATGATCTAAAAATAGTTTCGATACATGGAATGTTTGGCATGTGAAACACTTGCATCTTTGCATTTGCAATGGAGCGGGAAACGTTGATCGACTAGAAGATGCTCTGACATAAGTGAAACAGTTCCAGGGTATATACATATACATATAACGTTTTTCTTATACGCTTACGTGTACAGTGCATGTAAAGTGCCAAAAGCCCCGTAAAGCCGCAAATTGATGGATCGTAAAAAGTAGAAAAGAACCATTAAAACAAGTCTAATTACTCTACTTGATTTCTAGGTTTAAATGGCTGGGGATTTGCCTAGTTGAATGTTAACCTCAAAATGTATATTTATCGTAATCGTAATTGTTATCGTTATCGCTGTTATTTGGCAATCCGCTGTTGCCAATGCCGCTTACAATGTTTTCCTTGTTAAGCTTCGCATACAAACTCATTTATTTACTCAATTATTAGTGGCTTTGGGTGTTGTGCGTGTTGTTGCTGCTGCTGTCGCTGTAGTTGTTGCTGTTGTTGCTGCTTTTTATTTATGTTTTATGTTGTTAATGGCTGCGTATCAAGGCTGCCGCTTGGCCAATTCAAAGCTAAATAGCCGCTGAAGCGGAGACTGCGCAGGCGTCGCTGCTCGACACCAAAACTAAAATGCAATTAAAATAGAAGAAGCAAAAAAAAAAAAAAAAAAAAAAAGAAGAAAAACTGCAGCGATTAGCTCAACTGCTGTTTCTTCTTCTTCTACTTCGCTTACTTCGACTGCTGCTTCCTCTTCTACTTCTAACTGCAAATGTAAACAAAGCGCTGCAATGGCCAGCGGCAGCAGCAACAACAACAACAACAAAGACTGTGAGCACTTGCAACGCTTCGTGCGTTGCGCCGTTCGCAGCTTCGTTTCGGCTGCCAAACTGTTCCAAGAACACAGAACGTCAGTGAGAGGGAGAGAGGGAGAGAGCGAGCGAACGAACGAAAGAGCGACAGACAGCGCCTCAGCCAAAGACTGTCTCATTTCCGTTGCGTTTCATTTCATTGACTTGCACCGCACAGTGGAGCAAATATGATGCTAGCGCTGCTGAAATGTCAATTCATGTTTGTATACTTAAGTTCCGCTTATGATTACCATTTCTATAGAATCTATAATATACTATGCAGAGCATATATTTGAAGTTTATGTATAAATATGTGAGCTAAAAGAGTTCTGTTATCAAAAGTCGAAAGCGTTACTTATGTGCATAGTTGCTAATTTATTTATTGAATAAATCCTATTGTTATGCATCGGCATTATTCCAAGCATATTATAAATGTAACGTATGCTTCAATAAAAATGTGCACTATGTAAATATATTTATTTATTGTGTATATATGTATATATTTATATACATATAAGATAATATTTATGTGTATATATTTATTTATTAGACGATATGAACGTTATATACGTTGAATTAATATTTAGATACACGTAAATATATATTTATTTATTGTGTATATATGTATGTATTTATTTATATAGATACTTATTTTCTTTCTTTTTTTGTTATGTGGGGCACTTTATTTTTGATTAATTTACGATATACAAAAGTGTTGTGTTTTACATCTACATTTACATTTAAGCCTACAGCATACATTATCCTTTTCTACTTAAACATAATCATTTATACAATTGAAATTGATTTGTTAGAGATTAAACTAAATACGGGGAAAAAGCGTATATAAAAGCCCAATAAGTGGATAGATAGGTCTAATAAATCAGTATACATATATACAATACATAAACACTTTATGTATTGTATATATGTATACTGATTTATTAGACCTTAGAGTAAATATAAAATTAAAACTAACTTAAAATTAACTACTGGCTACTGCTGCTTCGGCTTGATAGATTTATACATATATATTGCGTACATTAGCTTAGCATAAAAACTTTTCCACACACGACTGCCACACGACGTGCAGTTTCGCTTGGCAGTTATCGACAGCCGAGGCCCACTGTGTCGTCTGGCCAGCTTTGACGCTGCTGTTGGTTGTTGCTGCGTTTCGGCTCGGTTCGATTCGTTTCAGTCCACTTTAAGCTTCCGGCGCAGGCGGTTGAGTTCGGTGCTCGGTTCGTCAGCTCTCGCTTCGGTGCGTTCTTACGGCACGGCACTTGCTGTTTAGTTTAGTGTTGTTTTTGTTTTTTTTTTTTTTTTTAAATTTCTAGTATGAATATTTGTTGTTTTTTTTCATATTTGTTATTTGAATTTTAGTCGTTGCGCTCGATTCACAGCTGAGTGGCGGCTGTGCTGTGCCTATGTCTATGTGCTTGTGCTTTATTTTATTGTTAGTATTTTTTGTTTCGGTGTCTTTCCGTTGGCATCCAGCAAAGACGCCCTCAACATTTTTGAATTTTTTTAAACGAATTTCCATAATGAAAAATGTTTGTGTACATGTTTTTTTGTTGTGAGTGTGAATGAAAACTTTTTGCTGTGCGAAAAGGCCAAAAACAAGAAGCAGAAGAAAAATCACAGAATGTTGTAGTCCATTGGAAAATATTTTGTAAAACTATGCGCGCGGCGGCGCGTTGCGAATGCGAAATGAAATGTTCTAAAAATAAAATGCAAACAACAAACAAACAAAACTACAAAAGCAACAAAAAGCAAATAAACTTGCGACTCGCAACGCGCACAGACCCCAAAAACTGAGGCGAAAAAAAAATAAAAACAAATTAAAATAAACCAACAAAAAAAACACGCGAAAACTGGGCAATTCACACACACACACACACATACACACACACATACACATTCGCATAGATCATCATCTTCAACCTCAACTGGGCTATAAATTTAGCAAAGCCAAACGGAACAAAATATTTTTCTACAAAGGAAAATTCGAAAACGTATCAAAAAAGACAGAAGAAAAGATATATTAAAACCGCCTACAAACGCACGCGGCGCGTTTTGTGCGCGTTTAAAACCGCGTCGACTGCGTGCAACAGAAGAAGAAGCCGAAGCAAAATTAAAAGAAAATGTAAAACTGAATTAGGGAAATGAGCGCTTGACACCATTCCTGAAGGCGTAACGCGGCATGGGAATTGAGGCGTGGCAGCGCCTAAGCGCCCAAAAACTTGGCCAACACACACCGGAAAGTCGAGCGTGTGTTGTTGTTGTTGTTGTTGTTGTTGTTGGTTAACCGTTTATGGCAATAAGCGCATCCGGATTAGCTTTTGTGACACTATGCCAAAGGTAGCAAAGGTGGAAGGAATGGGGCATGACAGGGGCAGGGAGAGACGCATTTATATGGAAATCAGAATAGCAACTGTAATGGCAAACTATGTCAGCCACATTTGGCCAAGTTAGCAGCCAAAAAAAAAAAAAAAAATACAAACAAACAAAACCGCTTAAAGAAAGTAAGGTAGAAGAAATAGAGAAAAAGAGAAAGAGAGGGAGCGGGAAAGAGCTTAAAAACGCGCGCTGCAAATGCCGCCAATTGACACCAATTAATTAATTTGATGCACATGACCCACATTTTATTTATAACAACAAAAAGAGCGAGAATCTAAATGTATATACAAATATATATGTATGTCTAAAACTGCATAAATACGCATTTTATGCATTCGCTTCATGCTGTTGTTGTTTTTGTTGTTGTTGTTGTTGCTGTTGTCGCTGAGGCTGCGCATTGCAAACTTTCTATTTTGAAAATAAAACTAAAAATAATTGAAAATACGTGTGTATTTTAAATGCATTAATCAAATGCACTAGTGCAGCAGCTCAAACCATACCCCCCCCTCCCCTCTGGCTTTACCACAGCGCACCTCAGCTCACCTCAGCTCACCTGTCTACCTCTCTCTCTCTCACACACACACACACAGAGTGCCTAACCCGCATGAGAGCGCTTAGCGCTTCGCAGACAACAATAAAATGATGAAAAAATTGCAACCGCAGCATAATAACAGTAAAAAGTGAAGCTTTTCCTTTAGGCAAGATTGTTTAATACCCTATCTTTAATTAGAATCTTTTAAATTTAGTTGTAATTGCATTTCTTATAGAGTATTCTGCGAGTCCTATATCTCGAGCCTGTTTTGGAATAGTACTTCTAGTTTTTGTAGGTAATACTGGAACTTTTTATGAAGCTCTATGACTCAACTCTCTTATTGACAATCTCTTGTAATACTTGCTCCTTTGATAGAGCATTCGTTAGTCTCATATATGGAAATCTTGTCTTTTTGTAGTACTTGCATTTTGTATAGAGTATTTTATTAGTCTCATATAGAATATTTCTGTCTCTTTTGTAAAATATCTGTAGATCGCTTCTATAGAGTATTCCCTCAGCCTTATATAGAATACATATGCCGCTTATAGAGTATTCAGCGAGTAGTATATATTTTGGTATTCCCTTATAGGCTTATAGGCTCTTTTTCGTATGAACTTTTCATAAAGTATTCCTTTAGCCTCACCAGCTCTCTCCTTTGGTGTTTGCTCTATTTATAGAGCATTTATTTTGCATCATATAAGAAACTCATTTATTATATAATCTTTGTGCACCCTTAGTTCCACCAGGCCTCTCTTATAAAACCTTTAGGTTGATTTCCAGAGAAAGTTTTTCTTAATAACTTTCAAGATATTTTACTTATCTATTTGCATAAATTCCATTTTAATTAATGAATCATTGGCCAATAAATCCTGAGTGTGCGTGTGTGTTGAGCTTCAAGCTCAAGTCGTTGTGAGCCGCTGATACTCTACTATATCACTTTTTCCTGGAGTTTTTCAACTGGGAAAAGCAAACGCCAATAGAAACAATAGGGCGCTCCCTTTGTTAGCTGCGGCGCGAGCGGGCATTGGGGGTGGCCGAGAGGGGGAGGAGGGTGGGACTTGGGGAACTGCCATTGTCTGTTGATGATGATGATGAATGCCATTGTATTGTCATTGTTGCGTTTGTCCATTTGTCGCTTGTTGTGCGGGTGAAATTGGCAGCCAAAAAACAAAAAAACAAAAAATGAAAATAGAAAAAAAGCAACAAAAACAAAAGCGCGCGTTTTGCGAGCGTTTTTTATCGCGCTGCCGTTGCCAACTGCTGCTCTCTAGTTGACTCTCTCATTCATACTCCTTCTGTTCCATGCTCGCTCCCTCACTCTCTCTCTCTCTCTTTCTCTCTCTCTATCTGTGTATCTCTTAAATTTTTATGCGCAAATAGTTCAAGTCGAAATTAAAATGCATTGCAATTGGCGACGTTTGTCTGTGATGCCTTTTCTACTACTGCCACGCCCATTTTGCTATTGTTGCTTTGTTTATTTAGTGTGTTGCTGAAGGTACAACTGGCAACTGCAGGTGCATTGCGGCCGCTGCGCTTCTGTAGATACAAATGTATCTCAAAGTTGTTAGCAGTTCGCTTTTGCTGCTGTATCCGTTGGCTTTGAAGCTGTTTGCTGGCCATTCAATTGAGCATAAATGAAACAGCAGCGACAGCAACAGCAATAACAACAACGTCGGCAACGTCGACAGCGACAACAATTAACGGCGTCGCATTCAGTAATTCATATGTCATAAATATCTGTCAGTCAGTCGACTGTATCTGTATCCATGAGATACTTGTATCTATGTATCTGTTTGCATGTAAATTGCTCGTTCGCACTTTGCACAAAAATGAAAAACAACAACAAAAACTGCTCGATGTCGTCATCGTCATCGTCATCATCATCATTATCTTTATTATCATCATCATCAGCGTCTTTTAGTCCCGTCGAGCAGTCGATCTACATATGGCAATTGTTTCCACTTCCAATTTGAGCTAGCCAATTATATAATGGATATATAAACACACACACACACATGCATATAAATACACATAAGTGTATATGTATGTAAGCGTGTGCATGTGCTCAAGTACTTGTGCAATTATTTACGACTATTTCGTGTCTATTTTTAATCGGACTTAGCCCTAGGATTGCGCACAAGTGTGAAGATACTTTAAGATCTGCTACTTGAAAGATATATCTATATGTGCATATATACAAATATCTATGTATATACGTACATACTTAATGATTTTTGAATACTGATTCGATTATAATTGCTGCTGCTCCATCGAACTACTTAGTTAGTTTTTGGCAATCGCAGCTTCAGGCAATTCGACGAATTTCCAATGCTCGCTCGCAATGTGCCTACATAATTGTACATATTATATATATATATGTGTATTGAAATATATATCTATTTTACATTGCTCTTGACTTATCGTCCATATATATAGAAATAAATAAATAAATAAATATATATATATATATATATCTCTTGAATGTTCTTCTTAAGACCTTTATAGAGTGGGAATGATGTTGCACGTCAGAATTACTTTTTATGAACTCCTATTGAATAGGAGTACCCTGTAGTACCGTATCAAGCTAGTTTTTCCTTCAGAACTAGTAGTAGTAGTAGTTATGAATATTTAGTTATATGGGACTTCAACAAACCTTGCCTCAGCTGGAGTTCTTTGCGAATACAACTTGAATATGCCAAAAATTTGAGCTCGTTTTCGTGTACAACTAATTGAGTCTGTCTAGATATATCTAACTGTACATCCATTCCATCAATATGAATACATTTAGCTATATACCGTTCGACGTATGTATCTGGAAAGCCTAAGTCAAAGTCATGCTATACTCCATACTGATATTTCAGTAGCAGTTATCGATAACATACAAACGGACTTGCCATCTATTACGAATATTATTATTATCTGTGCGTAATTTGTTTTATATGCAACTTTGCTAATAACTCATTGTAATCGATAAAAATTGGTATATCGATTTTGATATGCAGATCGAAGAAACTAGAGAGTTCAATTACTTCATACATGTTCTTATAATACCTTTCCCTTCCTCTTGCCATTTTCACATACATACAGATACGAATGGGCTCTAAAGGCAACTATATATATCTATCAAGATATCTAGGAACTAAATGTGCATATACCTATATATCTACAAGAAGTCTTGAGTAATTGAAACACCAGTTTTGAGCAAAGTTCAGGTATCTGCTAGTCGAACGCTCCCGACAAGAGCAATCTTTTAGGCATAGCTCCATTGTCACATGTCTCTCTCCCTCTCTCTCTCTCTCTCTCTCTCTCTCTCTCTCCCCATTGTTTCT